CTACAGCTAATCGCCTTCAGCGACAAGTTAGGTCCCATTTAGCCGCTCTGAGACACTCCCGTTGGGAGGAACTCATGGCGGACATTACCCCATCCCATCTTGCGTACTATAGAATCGCGAAAGCGCTCCGTAGCGACGTCACCACTCACACCCCCCCGCTCACTCGCCCCGACGGCACCGTCGCCTTCGAAGACGACGAAAAATCTGAGTGTTTTGCAGACAGCATAGCGGCGCAATGCACGCCTAGTACGCAGGAAACTAACCCGCAACATATTCGCGGAGTGGAGGAGGAGGTCCGCCGGCGGGCCGCCCTTCCACTCATTGACAACCCCCTAGACCCCGTCACGACAGACGAACTCAGACAGACCATTAGAAACTTTAAGCAACGCAAGGCCCCGGGCGCCGACGGCATCTCTAACAAGGCGCTCAAGCATTTTCCCATCCAAATGCTAACCTTGCTTGCAATTCTCTTTAACGCATGTTTTGATCTGTGCTACTTCCCAGCCGCCTGGAAAGAAGCAATAGTGATAGGCATCCCCAAACCCGGAAAACCCGCGCACCTCCCCAGTAGCCATCGCCCTATTAGCCTCCTCAAGGCAATGGCGAAACTTTTCGAAAAAACCATACTGACCAGACTAAGAGAGCACCTCCTATCACCATCCGATCCTATTATCATTGACCACCAATTCGGCTTCAGAGCCAAACACTCCTGCCCCCAACAGATCCATCGCATAGTGGAGCACGCCCTAAGCGGCTTCCAACTTAATAAATATAAAACTATTGCAGTCTTCTTCGACGTCGCCAAAGCCTTCGACAAGGTTTGGCACGACGGATTAATCTTTAAATTATATCAATTAGAGTTACCTGACCGCCTAGTTAGGTTAGTAGCCTCTTTTCTATCAAACCGCACCTTCCGCTATAGATACGAAGGTTCACTATCAACGCCCCGCCCACTACGAGCCGGTGTACCGCAGGGGTCCGCTCTCTCCCCCCTGCTATACACAGCGTACACCAATGACATCCCTCAGACCAAGGGTGTCGAGCTCGCTCTCTTCGCGGACGACACGGCCCTCTACTCTAGGGGAGCCAGTACCAATCAAATCATAGCCAAGCTCCAACCGGCAATCACAACACTTGGGAATTGGTTCCGCGATTGGAGAATCGACGTAAATCCGGACAAAAGTTCGGCCATTTGCTTCGATCCCAAGCGCCGCACCAAAACCATACAACACGGTGCGCGGTCTCTGCGAATGCAAGGCATAGCAATACCGTGGCACCGCACAGTCAAATACCTAGGGATCACACTAGACAAAAAACTCACCTTCCGTGCACACATCACACGCGTAGTCGCGAACGCGCGCTTTTATATGAGCCGCCTCCACCCGATGCTCGGTAAATACAGCAAAATGTCACTTCGTAACAAGCGAACGCTTTACAAAGTTTGCATACGCCCGGTCCTCACTTACGCGTCACCAGTGTTCGCACACGCGGACGAAGCGATTTTGAACAAACTTCAAGTGCTTCAAAATCGCTTCTGCCGCATAGCCACAGGGGCCCCGTGGTACGTCCGCAACGCGGACCTCCACAGGGACCTTCAACTAGACACAATTCAAACACACCTCACAGAGTGCTCGGAACGGTTCTTCAAAGCTGCAGAAGAGCACTCTAACACACTCATTAGATCGGCGTCGGGATACGCTCCACACACTCCATCTCGATTCAGGCCCCGCAGGCCCAAACACGCACTCACAGTCACACACAATAAACTCACGCGCGATCTCGCGGCCCTCTTGGCCGCTGAGGATCCAACACCCGCGATGAGTCCCCCCCGCCCCCCCGACACAGAGAGGTTCGATTCCTCTCAGTCCCCTCCCGTTCCAAGTGCACATCTGAGTGCACTTGTCCTCTAAGCGCATTTTGCGTTATTTTAAACTATGCACTAGTTTAAACTAACGCAGCGCCGCATCATCCCCCTCTCGGGGGGTGATCGCTTCAGATGAAGCTTGTAAGGCCCTTCTGGCCATAAGCATGAATAAAGGGTGTTTTTTAGTCAGTAGGAGTCTGACATAACCCTACAGCCGGCTGTAGGGTATCCATGAGGATTTCTCACCCTCTCCCCCGCCTGGGAGGAAACAAAAAAAAAAAAAAAAAAAAAAGTAGCAAAGGTGCCTTAGATCTGGATTTATCAACTGTCAGTACAAGCAGTTTTGTTTCATCGCCGCTTTTTCTCTCATAAACAGTTGTTTGAAACAATTTTCGAATGTCACAAACATTAATCTCTTATCTATTAGACAAGTCCGTCCGTCCGTCCGTGGTGCTGTTTCAGCGGCCAAACCGTAAGAGATAGATAAAGAGAATGTTTAAGTTATAAGTTGAGAATAGTCTGATAAGACTACAAACCGGATGTGAGTAACGTAGCACTTCCGGTTTTCGAGAAATCACGTGATTTCTATTTCAAACGAAACCACACAAAATCTCCGAACTTCTCAATTAATTAAATACTTTTTTTTTGGTGAACATTTGGTTCACTGGTTTGCTAGTAAACTCTATTCCGAATCGCTTATATAGGTAGATACCATTCCCATGCACATGCATGCACGTCACTATTGAATTCTGCAGTTTTGAACTCGGCATGCAATTGAAAAAACACCTACTTAGGTGGTGGTACTCTACATTCCAGAGCCAACCAGTATTTGGTACTATTTTATTATTTCCCATCAATCCCAAACTGGTCTTTCACAATCACATCGATCTACAGACACAATGTTTGATTGTTTGGCATACATACTAATATAATAAAGAAGAACAAGTTGTATGCAAATAAATTAAAAAACTACTGGACTGTTTTCAAAAATTCCCTCGCTATTAAAATTTTCCATCATTTCCTGAGTAACCTAGCCATAGCCATATTTTATCGTGTTAAAAATAATATCGTCCGTGTAAAGAAAGCCGGGGCGGATCGCTAATATTAATAATTATGCCATTACAAAAGAAGGCTATTGAAAATACACGAGTCGGCAAAGATTACATTATTACGTTAGGTGTTGTTAGCCCTGTTAAAATATTTAATTTTTTCTTCTCCTAAGGGACGCCGGAACCGAAATAGAATAATATTAGCATGGACACTTCAAAAAGGTTTTCGTCGCTTCTCCAAACGAGAGCTGGCACACATGGCTTTAATTTTTATGGAAACTCGTTAGAGTATGTCGAGAATTTTGCATTTAAAACAAGCTCCGGTGGCTGGATTCGCATAATTTCATAATAACCGCTAAATTCTAGGCGCTCTGGTTTGGCCGCTCTTATTTGCATGGAATTAAAGGCAGCTTATGCGGGAAGCCGCGTTGTGGTATGCTACTGCTGGCTAATTAGTTCTGGGTAAAGTTATCTTGGTGGAAGTAAAATTTATCAGCCAAGAAAATTGACTCTTTAGAACTTTGAATAAGACACACACTTGTGGCAAAATCATTCCCAAACGTTGTTTCAATGCTTAATATAGGTTCGCTTAATATTGTGTGTGTGTGCGATTTTGAGTATCATTACTTATACCTGGAAATAGTTTAGATTCTAATTGTTGTTGTCACTTTAAATAGCAAGGGAAGCATCAAGTTTAATTAAACATTGAAGTTATAGTACGAGAGCCTACACCACTAAACCTAGTATTATAGGACTCCCAGATTATATATAACGAAAACCGGGGAGTCTCATCATGCCACAAACCGTATTTTTATTGGGTTTTTAATTTTATTTTTTAATAACGCCGAATTTTTTTTTTGCGTTGCAGTATCTTCATTTCGTATTTCCCCATAAATTTGTATTCTTAGTTAAATTGCCACTGTTTAATGGTTAATTATATCGTCAGCATAGATAGACAGTCTCCGACTCGAGAGGTCCCAGGTTCGAATCCCGGTGGGGGCAGATGTTTGTGTGATGAATACGAGCATTTGTACTCCAGTCATGGATGTTTAATATGTATTTCTATGTAAATATACTTATATATGTACAGTATATGTATTCTATCCGTTACCCTAGTATCCCATAACACAAGCTTTATAGTGCTTACTTTGAGGCTAGGCTAACCGGTGTGAGTGTTGGAAATATTTATTTATTTCTCATCATCAGCCGATAAACGACCACTGCTGGACATAGGTCTTCTCTAGGGATTCACAACGGTCTTACATTTTCCGCATTCAGTAGGTCCTTAAGACTCACTTGATGTCGCAAGTCTGCGCTATTGTATAATATGTCAAGAAAAGTAAATAACGATATTTTTTAAAGATTTTCCAAAAAAAGAGCAATTAATATTTTTACTACAATAATTTTTACTCTTACACTTGACGGTAAACTACCACAACGCATTTCGAAGCCCAGGTGGCTTGGTATGATTTGGCGGTGCGTTCCTGCTAATCCTTTTGTGTTGCACTCTGCATTTGAAAGTATTTCTGGTAATTAGGATTTCATTTAGTAAAATTCGCATGTAAAGCAGAAAATCCTGTCCATTATTTAAAAGAGGTTTTGTTTCACTTTCCTTAAGGTTCTTATAGGATTACAACTTATGTTATGATTAAAATGGCTACCCCAGATAAGAACAATATTCTAAATATGCACGTCAGTCAATAATAGAAATAACATGAATCTATGGACTGCTCATCATGATAAGTTTCACAAATATGATACGTTTGGGAATAAAGTCGATATGGATGGGCCACTGTCCAATTGTTCCCCGATCACAATACACATGTTAATGTTTAGCTTTTATTGAAGTGGTATTGAAACATGATTGTATCTTCATGATATCATGTTTATTATGATCTGTCACTTAAAATTAATATATATTACCAATCCAATAGCCATTATTTACTTAATTCCAAATTGTTTTTTCTTGCATTAGAAGATCATCCAGGTCCTAAAAAATTGCAATTCGAGTTCAGGATAAAATATTTATATCTTGACATTGAAATATGACAATTTATTTTACCAAATAAAAAAAACAGGTATATTAGCACCAATACAGTCTTTACACACAACAAAAATAGAAATAACAATACAATACAAAAGTCAGAACGATAGTGCTAGATTTTGATGTGGGTACGTCAGATTTATTGTCCGGTGCCATTAGTTTGTTGAGCTGGCGCGTCGACGGCCGCGGATCACCGCCCGGACAGTTTGCGTACATCATATTAGATTCACAATCCTGGAAATAGGAGTTAACGTTAGAGCCTTTGAAGTCAAGGTATGAAAAAAGACCCTCACAATCCTGAAAATAAGAGTTGACATAAAGATCTCCGAAGTGAAAGCAAGAATACAAACTTCAAATGAGATTGAAAATAGTGCTGAAGCACCGGGAAAGCTGTAACATCGCCTAAGATTGGATTAAGACCTAGAATATTGTTTTTCTAGAAAAAAGATTTTAATGCCGTTATTTTAAAGAAGCTAGGAGATTTACGATAAATTACTCTCAATTGATTGACGATGATGCGATAGAATGTTAATTTAATCTAAGGGTACTAAGGTTAGGTATCTTAATGCTAAATCTTATTTTAATTAGGTGTATTCTGTAAAAAGCTCTTTTAAATCCCAATTTTTCTGTAAATACTCTTTTAGATTTACATTGGTGGACTAAGCAGAAGAGTGTAGCTGAAAAAAGGTTTCAATAATGCGAAGCCTGCATTAGTGACTGCAGCCCATCTTTATTGAGGGTATTTAGAAAAAATTACGTCACATAGTTGGAACCACTGTGACAAGAGGTCTTTTGTATAAATTTTTGCCACGAATTAATCTAACGAGCATTTTAATTGATCCATAGACTATGACGAAATACGTGATTTAAAGAATACACCTTTCTTGTCAGTGCTGCCACCTGGCGCCCGTCATTCCTGTAAACCCTCTGTATTTGGGACCAGAAAAGGTCGGCGTCGCTGCTCCGGTTTTGTCTTCACCAGAGATAAAGTAGAACAAGTCCAATCCATAAAATTGTTAGAGGAAAAATAACGACATCCTACTGGAATCCACAAATTTTCTCTGCTCTCGGCTTGACTTGAAAATGCTATTTTAAATTGTACTATTATACTTAATGTCATTTTTTTCACGCAGATTCATGATATTCCGAGCCAAATAAGAGTAATTATTTTTTCATTAATGGCAACTTTTTACAAGGAACGATGATAGCGAAAACAAAAAGCCAATTCTAACTCATTTTGTCGCAACATATTATTTAGTAGATTATTTCGCCAATGTCAGAAAGTTCACTTAGTTAACTCATATTTTTACTAAATGCTTACAGCTCTCGTGGATTTATTGTTCTCGCTGGAGAGCAACTCAGTAAGTATAAACAACTCTGAAAGTTTTAACACTCGGAACATTTTAGTACCTACTGTGTCGTTAAGGAGCTTCTATCGTAGATTTGAGATTTCTCTACTTCAACATGCTTTTAACAATCCTTATTACAAGTCCTTTCCAAATAATGATAGAAACAAATCTCAGATTTCTCATGTAAAATTAAAATCACAACGTTTTTGACACTTCTTTTTCTGACAATAACACAAATTAGACAAATTGAATGAATAAATTGAATGAAGGCTAATGAATAAAATGTGAGGAATCTAATCTGTTTGTCACCATGACTGACTGATAATTGAATAGTATACAAACATTGCACAATGAATAAAATTATATGTGGGAATTGCGCGAATTCATAATTATTTTGATGTGGCGCGATGATATTTGATTTAAAGACGCTAAAATAATTCGTGGGAACTAACAACATAGAGAAACACGGCTAACGCGGCCAGGAGGGGAGTAGGCATACACACACAGGCTTCCCGTCTGTCGATTGGGCATAAAAATACTCCCGATGTTCTTGTGCTTGTACGTTAAACTGCATTTTATTTCCCCCGCAAAAAATGGCAAAATGATTTAAAAAAGTATTTATGTCGCTATAGTTACGCCCTTCCGTGACACCTATAACTAGCGACATTTGCATAATCCTATTCAACAATTAGTACGACGCGCAGTGGTCTTAATTTCAGGAAATCGTGTCCAAATTAGTTCCGAAGTAGAGGCGTTTTCAACATTAGTTGATCATGACAAAACAGCCAGGATATATATTCAATAAAAGCCCAAATAGTTTAAGTGCGTTCACTGGTCTTAGAACAATCAATATTTCTTAAGTTATATACGAATTTCATTCCTACGCTGGATTAGGAAAAACAGTAATGGACTTTATTATTAATTATTACGTTAGGTACCTGATAAACGTCGCCTTCAGAAACGATTATGGAGAACTTTTGCAGCGTGGCAGCTTGCTCTTGACTACATTTGTCAGTGCTGAATAAAGAATCCAGTGTACACCTACGGAAGGCTGCTCTGGCACTGGGTAAAACATAATGGAATGTAAATTAAGAATTCGAAGTTCATTTACGTGAAGGGTTACTCGAGGGATTGGTGGGTATTAACGACTGCAGATTCAGCCGAGACCAACGGCTTAACGTGCCTTCCAAAGCACGGATAAGCTCGATATAATAATTTTTTGGTCACCCATCTAACGACCGACCTTTGCGAAAGCTGCTTAACTTCCATCTGAGCCATCGAACTCCTCACATTCCACAGTATTCAATCAGTTTTTATGTATTGTATGTGAGTTATGAAATAATCTAGACATATATTTTAGGCTTCATATATATAGGCATATGAGCGGCTCACAGCCAACAGTATCGTGCCTACAGCCGTCGACCACTGCCATCAACGTAGCGACGACTGCCGCTGAGAAGCCGTCAGTCGTTAACCCGCCGACGGCAGCCGATCAGCCGTCGATGTGGCGTCTGCTCCCGTCGATCCGTCGACCGCGAGCCGCTCGTATATAAATGCTTCGCGGTTACACGGCATTCTCTCACCAGCACATATAGAAATGTGTTTCGTAATGCGTCCACTCGCGTGATTTGTTCTTTTGCTCGTCGACCAGGAGTTTGAAAGTGGAGTAGCATGCCTCCCATACGTCAGATATCGCCTCTATACATATGGGAAGATCGTCGTAACCTGTGACATACAAAGATGAAGAATTTTTTTTGTTAAATGGCTGCCAAACAAGCGTATGGCCTGACTAATGGTAAGCGGCCACCATAGTTGACTACCCTGACCCAATCCCCTACCCCGTAGAGCCCTGGAACCTTACTTACAGAAACACAACACAACATAAAGGTGTGGTTATTTACCTTGATAGTCTGTAATGCGGAGGTTACTTCCCCAGACGAGCGCTCCAGTTCAAGCGAAAAATCATAATTATGTGTTGCTGACAAGTTTTTGTAATCATCATCATCATCATCATCCAATAGTTCCCCTACTGCTGACAGAATCATACCCGATTATGGGATAGAATGGATTGTGTAATTTCATAGTGATCAAATATGATTTCATGTTGTTTTGTGCTATGCTCTATTAAGCCTACTCGCTTCTCTTATGGCAGCACTAGACTTGGCAATTCGTGATTGTTATTTGTAAACATGATATCAGTCCGTCCTTTTCAGCCCTTGTAGAGAAGAAGTTCAGAGTGATGACAAGTTTACAAATAGCAAACACGAATAGCCAAGTTAAGTGCGGTCATTAGATTAAAATGAGGATGCTGCGCCGTGCTATATGTGACTTCCTCACCTGATGCCCTAACCAGTTGTGTTAAATAATATTAAGTAATCGCCCATATGAATTTAGTTCGGGTAAAATAACGGCCTTTTACTGACAATTCACAAAATCAACGTGGTTATTGACCGTGTTAAATCCTCCGTATTAAAGGTTAAATAACTCTCCAACACTGGTGAAATAAGATTTTTTTAAGGTGAGTATACACTGAAGTATTAACCATACTTTCGTGAGTTGAATCCTTGTCGCGTTGTTACGAGGCCTTTACTAACCTGATTTTAAAAATTAATAAGGTAGTCAATGTGACATTACATCGCGCAAAAACATACACAGACTGAAGTGCACGGGAATCAAAATAAATGTTACAGGGTAGAGTGATTGATGCTCTGAGCTTAACATCGCACCGCGCTTCTAGACAGACCCTACTAGTCGACCCCATTGGTCGCCATCACCAGTTGATGGGCCTGTGATTGGCCTGTAACAAATTTTGTAACGGTCATCGAAGGCCAACTCGAAACGAACGGGTGGTAGAAAAGTTGCCCATGCAATGTAACTTTTCTATGGAAACGCTCAAGGGCTCTCTAGTCTATACTTACTTTTAGTTAGTGATTCAAAAGCATTGAATCAACAAATGGGGCAAAGCTGCTCCCAATACATGAATAGAGGTACTTACTTCAGAATAGGTGGGTTGGACATAAAATTCAAAGAGCTGCCAATCAGCCCACGCGACCGACGCCAGGCACTAAGTTAATCGAACGGACATTGAGGGGCAAACAAGATTAGAAATCCTCTAACTCGAAGCTACAAAGACGGAGTTCGAGTCACAATCAAGAAAACGAAATGTCAGAATAAATTCTTAATTCGACTTCGCTTCGCGACCGTGAACCGTTCACGGTGAAATTCAATGTTACCTCTCGAAAGGGAAGTAAGATTTTTACCCAGAAATTCGGTGAAAAATAAATTATTACCGTTAGTTGAACTTGAAAAGGGGGAAAGTTATTTAAATGTTGGTAATGATAATACTGTCCTTTGATTAATTGAACAGACGAACAATTAAGGCCGCTTCAGTAGATTACTCCTAAAGTGGCGATCACAAATTAAACAAAATTTTAACAAGGCATAGTTAGGGTTTGAGAAGGTCTTGCCTTCATTATCACCATCAACCTATTAACTTCTCCATTGCAGTGGCAAAGACCCTGGCCCACCAGGCTGGCTCAGGCACATCCTGCGGACCCCATGATTGGTGGACGCCAACGACTCTAGATGCAACTGGGAACAAGGGATTAACCTACCTTCCAAAGCACGGAAGAGGTCAAGATAATATAAATTTGGTCACCCATCCTAAAACCAGGCATTGCATTAATAGCGATAACCGACGGAGTAAATTAAAAGAAATTCTATTTAGTCTGTTAGTGAAATTATCAAAAAATAATGGACACTTATTTTCTTTTGTCCATCAAGAAATAAATTACAAAGATAAAGCACGTCAGACTAAGAGTGGGGGCTTGTGACGTAACTTCTAAGTACTTCATTATTGTACCAAGACAAGGCGTCATTTCAAATTAATAATATCTCTGTAATGTTTTCATTGTGTAATAAAAAAAAAAACGACTCCTATGCTTTTTGATAATCTGCCTGTTAGACAAAGAAAAAGAAGTTAGTCAGCATCCATTTTAAAATGTCATCAATGTCACTACCACGATTGCAAATCGAACGAGTTCATGACTGTGCATTGAGATCCTGTTGTCTCGCTCTAAACGAATTATGAAGTAAGTGTATTCACTATAAGGTCTCTAAGTTGACAGAAAAGTTGTTCTTCTTGAGAAAAAAATATTTAAATACAGACTAGCAGTCGTATGCTCAAACAAAACTTGAAACATGGTTTTCATTTTATTCCGAGGAAAACAGCAAAATTCTTCTGATGAAAACATGTCAAATCAAACTTGGGATTTTCTACCTCAATCCACGTTTAGAGCGAAAAAACAAGCGCCAATTGTCCAACCAATTACACAAGTCTTTGGGCTTTAGAAGTTACCGTTAAAATAAACGGTGGAAAGATAAAAAATGCAAACGACTTGAAACACTAATTCGAATTAAATTTTAACTTTTTCAAACAACGGTTGAAGTTAAATATTCATGAGAGATCATCATCAGTTTTTTTTTAATAATGCGCAGTATATTTTATTCTTCCTCATCTGACATTAAGTCCATAACAATTCTTGCTTTAATAATAATTAGAAAAGGCTAGAATTCTAATCTCACGAATGCCTAAATTACGAGTTTATTTTCATAGATTAGTCATTTTTTAAAGTCATAAGGGGTTATAAAATAAACATTATTTTTTTATAAAAATCAAAGCCGTATCAGGCGAGTTGGATAACAAACATTGTGACACGAGATTTATTAATTTGATAAGTTCGCCTATTTCTAGAATGCCATCTCACGAATATAGGTAAAGCAATTACATTCTATGTAATAATAAACATTTTAATTAATTTACAAATTTATTCACTGCCAGTCGTTGAATCTGAAAATAAATAATCAAGAAGGTTGGTACCCCACTCGGGCATTACAGATCTTACTTAAAGGGCAACATTAGAAACTGTACCTACCTATTCTTAGGCATTTCCTCTTACACACATAAACAGGGAGAAAACAGCTGAGTCCGTTCTTTATGGTGGCATGCAGGACCATAGTTCAAAACTTCCAAACACATCTCATTATGAAAAGTGCGCCCAATTACCGGAGATGCTCTCAGCGAAATTTCCGCTCTCATCTCGATAATTCTAGAAAAACGGTTTAACAAAGTTCAACCGTAATAGGCCCAGCGAAATGTCGGTGAAACTTGTAAATTATTTTAATGTTTTATAGGTCAGTAAGTTTATATTAGAGGTGAGTTTCTAAGTGACAAGGTTGTTTTGAAGGTATACCCGATTACATTACAGTTCTGGACGTTGGGAGATGAATTTAAAATTTTGACGATATGATAAAAAGGGAAAAATTTGCGCATTTTTCTAAATAAAAGCTTACGGGCAAATGTAAACATGGCGATTCGTGATCAAGTTTTTTATCTAGTTGAATCTAAGATTAACAAAGATTGAGTAAAGGCTTAAAAGAATTTACTTTGTGGTAATTTATTGCGTTGTGTGTTGATATGTGCGAGAAAAATCACCTAGCCATCGAGTTTGACGTCACGCGACCGGCACTACCACACTGTTTACAGAAGCTGCAAACTAATTGCGCTTGTCAACGAAACGTTTTCTACCTAGTTTCTGCCCGGGTCCAGACACGGTTTTCAACCGAGTCCTGTCACGAATTAACAATGGGACACGATGAAAGTTTAGTCTTTAGTAGAACGGCGGGCTGGTTCCGCAACTCGACACTCAGTGCCTATTTTGCGTGGGGTTTGGTATCAGTCCTGCTATACCAGGTCCTCCAGAAAGCCCAGCAGTCCACGGATGACGTTTGTTAAGGACACCGGCGCTAGCGACGGTTGGGGGTCCAAATGTGTTGGATCGTAGAAAGTATTTGTTGCCGAAATGTAATAATGCCCACGGAAATAGAAAGCTTTGTTATTTAATACCTCTCTATCTCAATGAATTGCCTAGTAATCGAGTGGAAATGTACCGGATACTGTAATTAATAAATCTAAATATAAATTTTAAAGATATTCTTTAGAAAATAGTCAACTTGAAAGTCTATAAAGTGGTAAAGGAGTGGCTCTCATACACACATAACCCTTAACAGGTTTTCGTATATGGTCTTTGAAATATGCATGAGTATGGTTTGTATTTGTATAAATAAATAAAAAAAAAACAAAAAAAACTTGCTCGTGAACAAGCTTAGACGGCACCGGCTTGGGACGAAACCGTGCCTAGACCCGTCGGAAAACTGGTCGTTACCAAGCACCTTAAGTGCTCAATATGTATGCTGCGGTGTGCCGTACTAGCTCTATTTAGACAACTGGCTCCTCTTGCAGCTTTCAGCAGAAACGTCAAATTATTTTAATGCATCATGAAGTCACGAGTTATTAAATTCTTTTGTTATCGAAACACAGCATGGTACAGCACAACGCAGCATTGATCGTTCTAGTACGAAAACAATACGGACGGTGTTCTGTTTTGATAGTTCTATTTTGTTTCTAACATGAGCACTGCAAAGCTCAACGTTGATTGGTACACCCTAAGTCCTAACATTAAAACAACTGTTTGAAGTAATATTCATTAGGACTAATGGCTAAAGTAAACCCGACTTTACCAGGCAACCGTTAGCGTTCACAATCGCTCGGCATAAAACTCACGCGACAAAAACCACTCGTCGTCACAAACATTGTCGACGACATGCATATGGCCCTTGATGCTCTCCTCGTTGAAGTGGCTCTCTGTTACATCTCTGCACTCGGAGTTCCAGTCGATGGCGCAGTTGGTGAGGTGCCTTATGGCCCTGGAGTTAAGAGATACGACTGTGATTTTTTAAAGAGAAACTTTTATTATATCTTCACTTTTTTGTTTTGTTCATCTTAAGCATGTTGCATGAAATTTTTAATGTTATTGAAAATTATTGGACATTATTAACAAGCATCGGTGGTTCGAAGTAATAACTTTCGTGGATGAAGGACTTATTTTGTTTTCCACTTTTACTTTTATTTTCCACTTATAAGCCTTCAAATAACTACAGGTACCTGGCCTGCATCATCCTATTCATATTTTTTAAAATAACTAAGCACAATTTGATTAAGTTAGAGTAACACGCTCGTAAAAGACATATGACAAAATTAAGCATTGCATCTACACAATCATGAAATGCAGTTTTTAACCTCTCTTAATTCTTAAGTTTCTATTCGAAAATAATAGGAAATGCAATGATGATTGCAGTTTTGGTGACATTTTCTCCATCATCGATGTTTTTATCACCATGCATACGACATAATGTAGACCAATAATATTTTTTATCAACGTAAGTGCTTTTTAAAGATGGTCGTAACATAATCAGGGTGTGACAGAAATCCGAAATAAAACTTAAGGGTGTGGTTGTGTTTCTTGCTCAGAAAAAGAACTAAAGTACAGTAGGGAAGATGCAAATATAATATTTATGAAAATTTTATGATTAAAATGTTAAATAAATATAAAATAAAACATTGCAACGTTTTTATTTTACATAATGTTGTTTTTTAATAAAAATTACGAATTAAAAATGACTTGTAACAAAAGGTAAAATACCATCAGCGTTTAGTGACGTCACTCCTGATAGTGTTATGACAACTTATTTGAGGTTATGGTTGTAAAAGTGAATATTATTTTATGGAAATATTAATTGCGTTTTTTTTTAATAAAAATGGAAGTTGGGTTTATCAAAGCAGATTCCAGGAATTTACCAAGAGTTAGTGTTGACATGGTTGAAACTTTTTTTGTCCAAAGTGTAGAAATGAAAGGCACTAAATTACTACGGTAGGTATGTTTAAATCATAGTTGTTAAACTTTATATTTTATTCGGCGGTTTCTACACATAGCAGTTATTTTAGCTCAACAAGAGAATCTTACGTCGATAACGCAATCGGCTATGTCCAAATTAAAAGAGATGGAGAATTATGTACAGTATAAAGTCGAGTTACTCTGGAGCATAAAATACGTATAGAAGGTTATCGTGTTAAAGTTATTTTAAATGAAACGCAAAGTTTGGTTCAGTCCTGCCAATGTGAAGATTGTGCCACACATTTTAAATTTTATCCAATTTTCGACGTCATTCTTCAACTGTAAAATTAAAAATATGGACAGGTTTTGTATGTATTAGGAAGGTTACTAACGCGTTTTTACGTACAAGCAGATTAATTAAGCATAATTATAACAAGTATATTCGCCAACTTACGTCAAAGTGATCTTTACAGCATCGAATAATGGTCTTTGGAGAATAATTGTCATTTCTCTTCGCAGCTTGAAACCACTTTTTTCTCAGTTTTGGGTCAGAAGGTCCAGTCAAAAACAATGTATTTGGAAACTTTGTTGAAGTAGATGGACAAATTGGCACAAAACATGAGTTAACACGGCTTTTTTTCGGAATATTAGTGGTGTTGTTATGATCACCTGATATTGATGGATAGGCCATTTTATTATTTTACAAAAAAATATATCGAAAGTCTAAAAAATATGCAAAAGTATGAAAGCCTGCGACGAACAAGTACGACCAGTGACAGACAGGAGTGACGTTATCGGAACCATAGTTCTGTTTTCGCGCGAAAATTTAAACTATAAATTTAAAACCGCATTTATTCCGATAAATTACAATGTTTTAATTTTTTAATATACCTGTTATCCTACATGGAATTCTTTAAAGTGAAAACAAAAATAAAAATATTGCATCTTCCCTATTATCTTAATTTTATAGACCACAACTGGGGCAAATATTTGTTGTTATGGTTCATAACAACTATGAACAGCATGCGTAACGCTTGACGCAGCGCAGGCCGTTTACTTTGTCTGGAAGTCTTTTCGTTATTCAATGTCTCTGGGAGGTTACACTCAAACTTCAAAGCATAACTTCTATGATTCCGCTCCTCTTCTGAGCTTTCTTGTAAAAATATTCTTTGAGATTACTTACTTGCACCAGTCGTTAATTTTTGCTGGCATCGGTGGCGCCTTCCTGCTAGAATTATATTCTAATGCAGCCTCTAGGGTACAGTTGAGGGTGTACCGAGAGAACTCTTCGCAATTTAAATTTTTCATTGCCGTCGCCATCTTGTCTTTATCTCTGGGAAGAGGGTTGACGGGTTCAAATTCTACCTCCTCCATTTTGGGAAAAGATTTTCTCTTTGACGTTTCCTCATCATCGTAATCTGCAAATGTCGTAAATAAAAATTAAAACCTGGTTATATTTCAGTTTTATTAAATTACTGACTAAAAATGCTACATACACACGTGTTTTACCAGGCAAGTCTAACTTGTTAGTCGTATCTCTATTAGATGAACACAACACTTTAAGAGTTTTTCTAAGAACCAATCTCGCGCACGAGACGGCTACGACCACGGCCAGTTGTGGTCATGGCCGCAGAAGCTACAGCTGAGCTGCGGCAAAGCTTGCGGCCCGTCTGGTCAGGTCGTTTCTTTAATTCGTAAACTTACTTAAATTATTTCGTAACTGTGTTTCAAAATTTGTTGTAGAAAAAGACTGCATCGTATTGAGTTTCGGAACGATACGATGCGGGTTCACTCACAAACTGTCCGCTTGACATTCAGAATGGCTGCTCGCGGCCTAGCTGCATTCACCGCAAAACTGAGAGCCTTGACTTGAGAGATTCTCCAGAGCCTTGACCACCGAAGACGTGTAGCTTGCCTCTCGGTGTTTTATCGGTTACATTTCAGAGATTTATTACATAATTTGATCCCCCCTTCCCCTTCCCACCACCAGACGACCAGGCGCGGCGAGGGCTTCCACCCTTATGTTGTCGACGTTCCTCCCATTCGCACGAAGCGATTTGCTTCGGCCTTCATTATGCGATCGGCTACGGAGTGGAACTCCTTGCCGAGGTCTGTTTTCCCGGACCAATATAATCTGGACATCTTCAAGGCCAGAGTGAACAGGCATCTTCTAGGCAGGCGTGTTCCATCCTAGGCCTCATCATCGCTTTCCACCAGGTGAGATTGTGGTCAAACGCATTGCCTATTTTGCATATAAAAAAAGTACACTGGTAGTGGTCGTGGCCGTATAGTGCGCGAAGTACTTAAGAGTTCAAATCCAATGCAATCCAATCAAATCCATGATCAACCTAATCAGGTTGATCATGGATGCCTGCCAAGGCAGTGCATAGCGGATTGCCTGCTCGAATTGAAGCGCCCATCTGGGGAAGTAAACTCCAATTTACCGAAGATAACACAGTAAAAAACACTACCTTTTGGTGGTTTTGTATTTCTGTCGGCGAGTAAGGTTCCAGGGCTCCACGGGGTAGGAGATTGGATCAGGGTAGGTTATATTTTATTGGTATCGCAAGCGTCTATAGGCTATGGTGGCCGCTTACCATCAGGAAGACTATACGCTTGTTTGCCACACTTTTAACATGATCATAATATCTCCTATCCCGTGGAACTCGGCAAACATAACTAGCAGAAACAAAACGTCACCAAACGGTAGATTATTCACTGTGGTGATAAAAAGGAGGCTTCTCCAGCAGAAGTAATTAATTATAGTACAATTTTGAAATTTGATTAGCAATATAAAAAACCTATAGTTAATTAGACAAAAATTTTGTTAGCAATAATAAAAATCAGGCTGCACTATTTGATTGTTCTGTATACAATCATGATATTGGTCAGAAATTGAAACATAAGCAGGTAGCAGTTTGTCTTATTATGTGTCTGCATAATAAACAGTCACGCTGCAAAATAATTATATTGTTGCGCCTCGTATAAAAAAAAACAAGTCTCGGCATTATAGATCCCCCAGTTAAGTGGGAATCATATTTTTGATTACTTATACCTTTTAATTCTTTTTTACTATAAAATCAAACAACTGCAAATAATATTGTAAAGCATCTGAATCTTTATCTATGTATAGCTACATTGGATAATCCACTCTCCCTCATATACTATTCGAGGTCAAAATTTCACTACAAATGTAATTAAAAGAAACTTACAATTCGCGCTCAAGTAACAAGGGATAATTGCCAAGAGCAAAATTTCTTGTATCATCTCACCAACTTGCCTTTTTGATTAACATTTCTACTTAAATTTACAAAACTAAATTAATGTTTATAACTTCTGCAATTCATTCTACTCTGATGGTTGTCATTGTTAACAAAGAGTATTTAATTAAAACTGGCATTAGAAAAGAGTAGCATTGTCACTTTCAAACTTCTTTCATAACAATTGTACTGTTATACGAACTGTTGTATTGTAATTGGTATACGAACTTTTGTGAGTGGGTCAAAAATAAATTTGACTTCTAGACATAGACTAAGTATTTAAAGATTGACAGAGTGAGGAAAAGAGATATTGGTTGCTTTCCAATTACAGAGCATAATGCGACTCAGTGCCGCACAATGCCGAATTATGCTGATGCTTAATTGGAACGTGAATTAGTTTTCAAATGCACCAGCAGAGTGCGCTAAGTTCAGTGTTGAAAAAAAAAGTCAATGTTTGTACCTTCATCCATACTTATATTTATTTTTTAACAGTTTGAATGAACTTTGATTATTTTAAAAAAAACTATTTAATGGAACGAAAGCTTTAATAATTTTTCAACAATAAATACTATTACTAACGATAACATATAAATAAAACATTTTGATCAATGTCAACTTAAAGAAAAAACACTTCTTAATTTTCTGTCTCTAAGTTGGTACGATTGCACGCATCACACGAAAGCATCACTTTTGAGAGTGCTCAATTGTGCGAAGCGTTGCTGTAGTTGGAACACTCAACGTTAAGCATTATGCCGCATAATGCGCTATAATGCTGTAATTGGAAAGCAACCATTATGCCCTTACGATAATTCCACAAGGTAGAAGGAAACATGATTTCCAATATATGATCTCGAAATACCTTTGTTCCAATAAAGTAAGAGCCAACAGCGACCTCTCAAGCCTTTTAGTAGGGGAGCCCAAGCGGGGATTTTTGGATTTACTCGAGCGCGGACTGAATAACATATGGGGAGCAACCTTGCACGTAGTTAGGTACTCCCACTATACCTGAACGTCTAGGGCAGCAAAAACAAAATTTCAACAAACGGCCATGACTTTTGGTCGCTCCCAAATCGTCGTGGCACACATATATTTTATTGTCTTGATCGATACTTGAGATACTTTCTATCCCACAAAAGGGTTGGGTTCCTGAGGGATCCTAAAAAACGAAAAGATAACGCAGACAAAGTTGCGGGCAGCCGCTAATCAATAATAATCATAATTACTTTACCATATGAATCAGTCTTGAGTGAATTCCTGTTTACACTCACATACATCAAAGTCATGATATTATACCTACACATACAGCTAGGTTACCTGCAAATAGATTGCCGACAATTAGTACGCAATCGGCGCGTTACTATATTGCGGCGTCTGATTGTGATGTATGAGCGTGCAAGATCGGCTGACAATCCGACATTATATACAATGCGATCGGATTATATTGAGAGCGAATGGGAATTCTCAACCTGGTTACTAGTAATCATCAATATCATATCAACTACAGTAATTAATAAAGGATGATGACAGAATAAAGTAAACAATTTAAATATTTTTTTTTGCTTTGATTTCATTGAAACCAACCAAAAAATTATAAAGATAAACTGCGTCAAAGATTAGGATTGAGGGTTCGTGACGTGACTGTTCTTAGTAAAAATTGTACCAAGACGTGACGTCGTGCAGCATTTCAAATCAATAGTGATATCATCCCTATTACACGCGTAATAAGATTGTCGAGCCTGTTTATTATTTTTATAGAGATACATTTGTGATATGTAACAACAGCTAATATGAACGGTTGCGAAATGCCAGCAATAGCAAAAATAAGCTTCAGCGGCGAGCTGAAAATGTTGCAGCTGATTTTCTTCAGTAGTTTTGAAATACCGTTGGTTTAACTGAAGGAGACCGATGCTGGCATATCTCTTCGTCTGTGTAACCCTCCACTTTGTTTTTCGCGGCCGGATAATAAAAAAAAAATCCGGACGATTTTCCTCTTATTATTTGTATTTTACTGCACACCCGTTTTTAACTGCGCTAGGTGTTTATTTATGTCTTATATCAATCCTGAATAGTTTATCTATATATCAGATGTGTAAATTAAAAACCACTATTAAATGTGATAAAGCAAAAATGTTGTTACATTATTCTTTTAATGTTGTGGAGTTTTTTCGCTCGTTTTTCTCCGCAGCTAAAAAATATGTCCAATAACGAGTGGTAGGGAAAAAAATGTTTGGACGATTCAAAAGTGTTCAATCATCTTATATATAGTACATACATCCAATTTGAATAAAGATATATTGATTTCTGATTTCAAAAAAAATATGAAAAAACGGTTAAGTGCGTGTCGTGCCACGCGCAGTGTAGGGTTCCGTAGTATCTTTCCAAGTGCTTATATTCTCTTTATAACGTAACGATAGCACGATTCAGAAGCCATTGCCGTTGGTTTTTGCGGAAATTTTGTGGTACTAATAATATTTTATTGCGGTTTTTTCATAGTTTTTTTAGATTTTGTTTTTCAATGCAAGGTTTTACACTCATCTATGTTACTATTAATGTTTTACCTTTATAGTTTCCCTTAAAAGTTCATGATTATTTCCAGGTTTATCAAATGTACAGTTTAGCTTTTAGGGGGGGGGGAGCCCTCCTCATACAAAAATTTGCACTTTAAAGTTCATTATTTCGAAAACGAATTCCTAACTCGAAAAATAGTCTTAGAGACTCCTAAATCATTTAAAAGGAAGGACGATGGAGTAAATAATTAAAAAAACATGCCAGGTTATAAATATGTATAAATATCTCCACAAAATGCTGCATAGGTCTCTAGTGCTCACAGTCTCCAAGCGAAACCGGGGACGGACATACAGACGAACATGATGAAACTGTTGAGGGTTCCTTGTCAGGACTACGGAACCCCACGTTGATTGATTGCGTAGTAGGAGACGGGCTTAGGATATATAAAAAATACCGTTGAACAGCCGGTCCGCGTCTGAAGCTTTTAGTCACAGTCAAGCAATCTTTGAGGACACCCGTGTCCGTATTTACTTATTCCAATACGTTGAGAGTGATAGTGTGGTGAGAATTCTACATTAAGTCCCGCTTGGGTGCTAAGCCTACCTTAGCGCAATGGAAGACTCCGACTCCTGTTCTCAGAGGCTGCCGAAGGATTTTCAGCCGGGAAACAGCTGCACCACTTTGAACTAACGGACATTTGTCGGCTGTACATACCGACGTTCCTCGCTGTCGCTTGAACTTACGAAGGAGCTGGAACTTCGACCTATCTGGAGACGAATGCTCTCAGGTCAGTGACCCCCCATCATTTTCCCCTTTGCTGAGACGCGACGGCAACATAACTGTATTTGGGAAATATAAGTATTTTTTTCTACTGAGACAATCTTTTATTTCCGAACCCACTACCTGCGAGCCCTAACGACCGCAAAACCTTTATTCTGTGGTTGATATATAGGACTTCTGATACTAATGACTTTATAGAATGGACCAAACCCGGTACCAAAATCCAAATCCATCCACCAATGGGCAAGCCACCATGCTTGCCCATTGGTGGATGGATTTTGGTATATCTGGACGTGATCTGGACGTCAATCACTTAGATTTGACAGCACTCTCGATGAATTTCAATGTGTTTAGTTAGCTTAAAATAAAATTCTAACAAATTTCACATCGCGATATCAACTACAAAACAAAAAGGGAATATTGAAAGCACGAATTGTATGTAACTAGAAAGCCCCTTTCCGTATTGAAATGTGTAAACAAAAAGTATAATTTTTCGTACAAAGGGTTCAATTTCACAGTATGTTTTGTAAGTTTGTTTTACTTTTTTTACTTTAGCAAAATAGCTTAAACGCCACTTTAGTAACTTTAGAAAGAGGATGATCAGTTTTTTTTCACAAAGAAATTATAACTCATTGTTAATGAGAAGCAACGCCATAAAAATAAAAACATATTCATTAAATATAGGTAATGTCTTCTAAAAATCCTTCTTTGAAAAAGGTACATAGTACCTTAACTAATTAGATGTCGCTTAAGTGAAAATCACCCGCAATTCATTTTTTGTCGATCAAACATCAAATCATACGCGAAATAATAGGGTGTAAGCGCCATTGGTTTAAAAAAACACAAAAAGTATGACGCTTCAGCTTTGCGAACATATTAAAATCTTTAAAAAATCTATTTCCTTAAGGGCCAAATAAGTACTCTATTCTTCACGAAACATAAACAGATCGACGTAGAAAAAAAATCTGAATAAAATGATTAAATATGTAACTAATTTTCGACTAAAGTGGCGTATAAGGGATTTTGCCTTTCCACCTAAAACATTGAGAAAATAATATATATATATTATTTTCTCAATATTTCAGGATGCCGTGCTGGATATAAGGGATTTCTATGAATGACACCATTCATTCACCTATTCCATAGTTACCACTGATTTCCTTGCTGCTCAGATCTATGCAGCAGGGGTGTTTTATTTACCCTAGGGCTAAAAGGGGCCATAACCCGGGGCTGCAAGAACTACGAGGGGCGACAAATCCTTTAAAGGGATTCATTACTGACCTATATTTTGGTTTGATTTACTAATTCTTGGGGAGGGAGGGGGGGGATTAAAATATGTCTCAGCTAAGCAGCATATATTGTCAGCGTTAACCAATAAGTAACTCTGATTGATAACAACAATTACAACAACTACATACACAGCTGTTAAAATGAAGTCCTAATGTAACTTAAGAAGCTTGAAATAGCTTAAAATAAAAAATGGATGATCACCAATACAGAAGGTACCATTTACATTTAAAAAAATCAATTTATTTCCAAAATTCAAGAGGAAGACATAAGCGTCTCCTTTCAAACTTTTTGAATACGCTATATATGAATCTCGACGACTACTCATTATCATCAAAAACCTATTAAAGGCAGGCAACCTTTTCAATAACTTTGCCTCAATGGCAGCTAGATAGTGAACGATCTAGGATTATCACAGAGGTGGATTTAGGAATACGGAATCTATGTTTTATTATATTTAACTAGCATCCACCCCAGCTACGACCTAGTAAAATTGGGGAAGTAAAATAGGTAAAAGAACCTAGCAAAAAAGTGGAGATTTTATTACAAAATTACCATCCTCTTATTGTCAGTTTTTTGTGGTTTCTTCTGGTTTTCGGTATAGTTTATGACCGTCGACAATTAAAAGCAAACGTGAATTTCGTGGAACAATCGGCTGGAACGA